ACAGTATCTGTCATCATGTTTCTCTTGTGTTCTTTGTTCTGGGTCTTGGTCCCACTGGTATCCCAGCCTGGGGTCTCAGAAGACTGAACCCAAGCTGTGGGTTGAGGAAGACCGCCTGGGGAGCTACGCGCCAACCGAGCTAGAGCTGCTCCTCAGGTAGTGGTCAAAGCAGGGTTTGGCACGCGTCAGCCTTTGAGTGAAATGACTGGTAAAAGGTAGAGATATGCTAGGGTATTATTTTAGGTTTGAGGGTGTTTGCATTCAGTCCCATGGCAGACTTGTTTTTGCAAGCTGGAAAAGTGCTCTCTCTATGTCTGCAGGTCGCTAATTCACACTGCTTCAACTGTGCTGCATAGATATAAACTAGTATAAATACCCTTAACCATATTGCAGTTTTCTTCATTTTCTGTGTGCATACAGTGCTAAATCCATCAGTTCATCAAGCTCCATTCCTGCTAAATGAAAATGTAGCATTTCTTTGCCTCATATGGGGATAGCAAGGTACTCAAAGACTGTAAATTCAGACTCAAATGAAGCATATATTAATGTTTGGAAACCTGACTTCTTTCAAACAAATATGATTTTTTTTAAAAAGCTGGGGGAAGAGCAAAAATGCTGCTACCTTCCACAATATCTAATTTGGGGATAAAACTGGTGTCAAAATGCCCCTTTTCAGTGTTGACAATTCATGATTTTTAGATAAAGGAAAAGAAGTTTCAACATAAAAACAACCACTAAACCAAAAAAGACTTTTAAAAGTGAAATTTCATGGAAACCCTCAATCACATGAAATCGGTTAGTCATGGTTTAGTGAAAACAATGTTTCTCAATGGAAACCTCATTCATTACTTTTTTTTTTTTTTCTTCTTCTGAATACTTAGAACAGATATAGGTATCCTCATGGATGTTCTTCAGCTACTGAGTGGGCTTTCTAAATCTTTATAAACTTTTATTTGTGGTGTTATACAAAATTGCAGCCTCCCTTCCCCCTAAAATCTCATAGACTGTGCTAATCTTTTATGAGTGATTTTCTTCATAAAGTACCTGTTTAGCCAAGAATGGATTCCATGCCTGTGCAAGGAAGAATTCTGTATTTGATAAGAAGCAAGCAATCCTATGCACTGAATTGATGTCAAGAGTAAAAAGAGTCTCTAGGGAAAGGATGCCTCAGATGACTGTATTTTATGGAAAAGATTGTTCACATGCACAGAATGGACTCTCATTTCACTATCATCTTCCCTGCCAATAGGCTTTGTATTCCAGCAGTGACATTAGTCAGAAGACAAAGTGTATGACAAAATAGGGAAGGTGAACATAGGAAAGGCAAAATATTGCATATATTTCTATTGCTAAACTAGATAAAAAACAGACTTCTCTCCCTGTCACCCCCCCTCATTGGATGTTCTAGTGAAATGTGTTGTTCTGAATGCTTTCCACATGAGCTTTTGTTTAAAGAAAAAAATAACGTATATTATTTATGCTTTTTGAACAAAGGGCATATTTTCACTTATAAAACTTGACGTGAAACAATTAAATGGGACAAAGAGTACAGTTTGTATCAGTAATTTACTATAATCATTCTAATGTTTCAGACATCAATAAACGTAGCTGGTTGCTGTTTAATGTCAAAGTAATTACTCCAAAATGACATCAATTTGCCATCCTAAAGAAAACAAAAGTAATAAACCTTTCACTTTCTGCATTAAAGACTCTTTCACACTAGTTTCTATAACCTAGTTATATAACACGCTAGTGTAAATATTTTAAAGGGACAACTAAATTATCTTTGCCAGGGAATATTTCTTAACCTCTATTAATCCATCTTTTATTGCTACTGTAAAAGGAAAATATTAATTCAATCTATCAAATCTTGGACAGACTTATCTTTAGTGATGCAATCTATATTTTTGTTTCTCCTTCCAGCTTTCTAGGAATGCCTGCTTTCTCCATTGGCTTATGGCACTTACGAAAGGCAAAAGCCTGGTCCAAATAAGAAAAGTACAGTGTATTCCTTGATTTATATGTAGCTAGTATTTAGTTCAAGTCTTCTCCCTTACACTTATATGAACTGATGCTTTTTCGCTCTCTTATTATCTGATAAGACATTAGCAAGAAAAATTGTCATTCTGAGCAATCGCCTAGGTCCCAGTTCTGTAAACTGAGTCTCTGAAAGCTAGGCATTTTGTTAGACTGGGAGAAGACTGAGAATTAAGTGATTTTGGTAAAACTGGAACTATGAAGTTGGCTTACTTCTAGGGCTGAGAACAAGATGAGAAAGTTAACCAAAGTGTTGACAAAACATGGAACATTTCTCACTGTGTGGCTTGCTGACTAATGGACGTTGCAACAGGCTGGACAAATCATTGAACACATACACATTTTTAAAACTTAATAGTCTTCTACTTACAACTTTATAAAAGCTCTAAATAAATCTGTTCAGCAATAGCTGGAACTAGAACAAATATTGGTCAATGAGAAGCAGAATATAAGTTGTGCTTTCAATAAGAACAGAATTAAAATTGAAACTAAATTGTTGCACATGGGATAGGATAAAAACTGCAACTAATTAATTAGTATGGAACTAAATAAACACTGGTGCCGTATTGTGAGCCTAAGGGCCTATCTACATGGATTCCTTCTTGGTATCAAGGCCATGCTTGGTTACAGCTGGAAGGGCCAAGATTTATCTGAGTTTAAGTAACCTGTGGCTATATGGGAGATACAGGAACCCAAGGTGAATTTAGCAGGCTTTCAGGTGTGTTCCAGTCAGGGATCTGGACTCTAACTGGAACTATGAGAACTCAGTACTGCTTATAACCAAGTGGTGTAATGGCTGGATATTGAAATGAACTGTAAATGTGACAACACAGAAATACGTACAAAGATGAAATACCTCATGTTTCAGTCATTGCAGAGTCATTAAATGACTCTATGTTGTAGAAGTCTTTGGATACCTGAGAGAATGCCCATAGCATTTATTTGTGTTTTGGTAAGTGTTTAAGGCTCCTCATTACATAATCAAGTGACTAGTCCAAATTTGCCTCCCCACATACCCTCCCAGTTTAAATGGGCTGCCATTTCAAACCATGGACATGGCAAAATATTTGATTGCCTACATTTATATTGTTGACAAAGGTCACAGTGATGGAATTAGATGCTTCTTACAAAATGTTGCTACTAACCTTATTGTGCCTACCTAAGCAGGTGCTGAGTATTCTCAGGGTTTGCCTCTCTCTCCCCACTGTTTCCAGTCAGGTTGAAAGTTGCCCAGCAGCTCACAGTCACACCGAGGGGAAAAGGTGTGACCTCTACCTATGCCACATTGCACTTTGCTGAGAAGAGGCAAGAGACCAAGCTGAAGCTATATGGAGTTAGTAGCAACAAAGGATCTGGCCTCAAAATCACTACTTTAAGAAAGCAGTGGTATGAATAGGGCATGAACAACCTCAGAAGAGAATTCATAAAGGAGCAAGGGAAGAAAAGAAGATGGACACAATGTGAGGTCATCAGGCTTCTTGTAAACTCAACGCAGTAGTGAAGTCACCGCTGTGTGTACCCATTTCCAAACATGGCTGTCTGTGTTGCAGAAGAGAAACCACCAGCATAGTTTGATAACATACTGATCTTTAATCTTTAATAAAGAAGATTAAATTCAAAGTTTAACAGTATAAAAGAATAACAATTAATTTTTAAAACAAAAATACAAGATAACACACAGCTGCATCTTGGTTCCTCCTGCTGCCAAAGCTTAGAGTACGCAATTTCTGCGGTACAACTCCACTGCATACAGTGTTTCCTATCACTTCAGCATATGTTGAAATCGAAATGAAACATTTTTATTTGCAAAAAAGCTTTTCCAGGTACAAGCTCAAGCCAGGGTGCTACTATGATTAGCTAGTCACATGTCAGTTCCCACACGTTATTTAAACAAACCAGAATGAAATCACTGCTTGTTGCAACATTCCTGCCTTTCCCTGTCAGCTCCTAGATGCCAGCAGTCCCTCTACCACTGCATCGATCAACCCAGCTGCTTGTAACTCACAGTTGTTCAAGAGCTGAACCTCTTTTACTTGGGTCCCCTCCTCTAAATTCACATCCGCAAGTTCTTATTCCCTTCATGCACACATACGAAAAAGCACTGGGGGCAAAAATGACAGAGAAGGTATGAAAACTTGTGAGAACTTCTTTCAGACAGCAAGGAAAAAGCCTCAGGCAGGGCCGATGCGAGCAGCCCCTCCTGACGGCAACTGTTCATAATTTGTTCAGCTTTACCTCCAGCAGAGCCTGTGGCAAACCAAAGAGGTGATGGGGGCAGCCAGGGGGAGGGGAGGCAAAAGCTCAACAAGGCGTTTAGCCTCCCCTGTCTCTTTGTAGTTAGATTTGCAGTTCTGACCCATACAAACTCTGCTCCTGCTTTGCACTGACCACAGCAACATGCTTTCAGGCCCAGGCTGAACCAAACTGGGGTGACGTTACAATCCACCTTACTCCTTGTTGGTTTGCTGTATTAATAACCCAAGTGAAAACAAACAGGGGAAAAAATCCTACCAAAATTTATAATGGAAGGCACCTCAAAAATGGATAAAAGGATACATTTTTCTACAAGTATCCCAACTGCAAAATAACTGTTTTCAATCCATTAGTGGTTGCATTCTCATTGCATGACCTTTGGAAAGCATAATAATAACAATAAAACCAAAATGAAATAAAATATTGCCACCAATGAAAAATCTCTTCAGTTAAAAACTGCAAAACCATGTCAACAGCAATTTACACACTTCCCTCAGTCCTGCAAACCTGAAACATCCAACACTGCTTGGACACAATTAAGAATACAGTAGACTTTTCAGCATAACTCTACTTAAATGACAGTATTGATTAAGAAAAACAAGGCATACTATTGAAACCAAAATACATAGAATCAGGTTTCTATGCTACTGTTCGCCAAAAAGCTATTTTTAAAAAAATGGTTTAAATGCAAACTTTTACATCTCCAACACGTTTTACATATTTCAGACAACAAAAGAATACACATACATTGTATGTGATAATTTTTCAAAACTAGCCATTACATTTTCACAGATTAAAAAAAAGTCTGTTTAAATATTTCATTTCTACAAAGTGAATTTACATTTTTAAGTACAAAGTGCAAATACTACAGTTGTTTTTATTGCCTTTTGGTGAGGAAATCTCCCACATGTCAAAGAGATCTGCCTTGGATCAGTAAGCTGTTCACCCTTGCTTCTTAGAAACTTGCTGAAAGAAAGTTGGAAAACTTTGCATTATTAATGATGTTTTCAAGTAATCAATTATAAACATTTATCTCTATTTTTCCACAGTGTCCACATGCCACTATCAGAACAAGAGTTCTGCACAAATATAGATTGGGAATAAAAAAAGCCCTGCCCTGTAGTCCTTCATGGCATCTACGAACAAGGGTATGAGCAACATCTTTATTATTTCTTACCTATAGCCTCTTTAAATCTATACCTGTCAAACACACAGTACTAGCAACTGCCTGGGCAAGTCCCTGGTGCAATATACCTTTCTATGGCATGTGATGTATAAGGAACAGGCTGCTGGCCAAAGTCTTATGAACGATCTATAGTTTCCTTGTAAACTTTTTGCTAGGCTGCGAAAGACCCTCTGGGTCTCATTGACAGCGTGTGTGCACGTATATGTATGTGTGTTGGACAGGGTGGAGCTGAGCAAGGGAAATATACCTGGCTACTCCCCCAGTTCTGTCTGATCCATCACGTATTTGACCTCTTAGCACAACCGCAGCTGAGACTCAATTAGCATATTAGTGTATGTATCTATATCTGCTGTCTTTCAGTAAGCTTGTACGTGCGCGTACACGCACAGATGTGCACATATGTAAAAAAAACCTTCAGAAATACAGCCCTAAGCACACGTAAACATATATATAACTGAACTGCTGCAATAAACTAGTAGAAAATGAGCTCTTGAGCGTCCATCTCCTGAGCAGTGCAAATCTGATCACTCCTTCTTAGGTGGGTGGTATAACTTGAGTGGCTCCTACCCAGCCCAGTTGCTTTTCAATAACTTCCTTTCAAGTGAAAACTTTTGTGAGGAAAGCCACCTTCTGCATTTGCAGCCTTGTATTGTTCAAGTATGAAACTGGCAACAGATGGTATGCTGAGCCAGCCTTAATTCGAGGTTATCATTTGTCAGCAACAGCTTTTAAAATAATTGGTGCTGAGTCAGCAGAAGTATTGGACAAAATTAAAAACCATAGACACTCTAGGACACTTTTATTACAGATTCTGCAAGTCAGGATCAGATTACAAGAAAGGGGAGAGGGCTTGTCATGCTTCAAGTGTAGTGCACGTGTGCCAGTAATTGCCATTATATAATTAAAATAACCCCTTTGAATGTTTTTGAGTTCCGACAGGATAATTGTTTTCAGGCTGCCTTGTTTAAAGCATAAGTGATTTGTGGGGGGAACTTGAAAAGTTAAGACCACAAACATTTGTTTAAACAAACAGAAACTTATCACATCCCTCTAGCTGTGAGAATATTTTATATTCCATCAAAGGTATGTAGGAGGTCTCTGGTAGAACCCACAACCAATGTTGAGCTTGCCTTAGGAAGTGTGAACCTAACATCAAACAAATCAGAGATAAAGCAATTAACAAATTGACTAGCAACAATGAGAGGAAGATTTCTCTTGGCTTGTGGGGAGGTTCACCCTGGGTTCAGTTTTTAACAAATTAATCTAACTTTCTGATAGATGGGAAGACATTATCCATGACTACGGTTTTGGGATGATTTTAGCCAAATTTCTGTTTGCCCAGCTGCAGGGTTACCTGAGCTGTTCTTATAATATGTTTATATGAATATTTTTAAAAACAGTTCGTCATTGACTGATGCTTTTGTGGGCATTAATCATTTAATTCCTCTAACTAATACAAAACTGAGGCAAGAATGGTATAAAGAGAATTCTTTACTAGACCATCCAAATAACTGGCAGCCTCCCAAGTCCTTCTTCAGACCCATGCAAAAGTGCTAGGAAGTTGTGCCCATGTTGTCCAGGAAACTGAATCTTTAGGATTAATGATCATAAAAGTAGACACACACAAATGAGAAACCCTTTTTTAACCTTTTTTTCCTGAGCTTCCACTTAAGTCCCTCCTTTTCAATGTGTACCTTTCCTTGATGTAAAAACTCTGCTTTTGTGCTTTTTGTAGCTCTGAATGCCCTGAGTAGCCAAAACTCCATGAATGACATACGCTAGTGTTATTCGGAAAAACAAAATCAAGTCTTTGCAGAAAATGGATGCAAAAACAAATCACAGATTATGTTGTCAGAGCACTTGACATTTTATTTGCTACAATCATTTTGCAGACTCAACCAATTTTAGTTTTAACATACATCAGCAGACTGATGCAAATCCTAGTTCTCCAGCATAATTTTGCTCAGCCAGCAAAGGCTTTTGAAAGTGACAGGTCTTTTCTCTACACTAAGATTTTGAAAGGTGTTTAAAGTCACCACATAATAATTCAGTGGGGTTTGTGAAATGTGTAGATTTTCATAGGGCATGGAAAATGCACGGCTTTGTTCACAAAGAGTCATTTCAATCCATGTAAGTTTGTGTCTGTAGTGTGACACACAGGAAAGTTAATGGAATTCAGTTAAAGCAAAAGGTAAATGAAGATAAAGCAGTGCACATTTAAAAGTGTATGGGAATGCTGTCATTCAGGAAAGCAGAAGACTCGTATGAGGGCTCGGTTGCACTCATCTAATTATCACTAACCTATATGCCAATTCACACTTTACCAGGAACACCCACATGCAGGCCTAATCCACTTTGCGTTTATGCACATTTACTCTGCGCCTGTAGCTGACTGATTCAGCTTTCCTTAGAAAGAACTTAAGTCAAAATTTGTTCATCGGGGTGCTGCTCTACATTTTCCCCACAAGTCTGCAGAATGGCAGATGAATGCAGTTTGAAGCTGCAGTGGTAACTGCTAAAACCCCCTGAAGTTCAGCTGGGCAAGGCAGGAATGGAGATCTTGCTCTCCTCAGTACTCACCTGCCTGCTGGATGAAGTGCTCTCAGTGTTGGTTTTAGGAGCCGCTAAAGGAAGGAAAAGAAAATATTATAAATATGGTTGCAAGTTATACCTAGGATCCCCAGGAACTGAAGCCCTCATTCTGAAAAGGTATTTTGTAGAGCATGGTAACTGCACAGCTTTCAATAAATGAGATAAAATATTTCAGATCTTTCACCGAAACATCCACTTTTTTCTTTCCTCAATAAAGGTGTGGCTTCTTTCATGGAGTTATATGAAAGTTGGATGACAGCATTTCTTGCCAGTTATTATGTGACATTTGCTTAGGACAGATTGCATCTAGTCAGTATCGAGCATTTCAAACTTATTAAATCTTTAGTAACAAATATAGCCTATTATCCTGGTGGGAAAGAAGCATGGACAAGAAGACTGCCTGGAAAGCATTCACTTTGCTTAAGGATATTGCACGGGAACAGCTCTATGAGCCAAAGACATTGTTCACATTTAAACTGTAAAACAACAAGATTATTGCTGGTTTTTAAGTTTCTTCATGGTAAAGTCCAAGACAGTGCTCTACATGGGGAAAAAAACCCCAGCTACATGACTCTGCTGGCCCACTCAACCTCATGAGCAAACCTGGGATGCTAGGGAGGAACTCGCTCTCTTGGTTTTCTATGTCAATTTGCTAGGCTGTTCAGCTATACTGGGACAAAGGGGAACAAAACTGGACCTTGAAGAATACTGCAGCTACTAGTATGCCCCTGAGAAAGGACGTTTTGCAGCTCTCTGGCTTTTATATTGCTTCAAATGGTTCTCACAAGACACCTGGAACTCCCACAGAATGATACAGAGCTGCTGCCGCCTTATCTCAGCTCCTACCTCAGGTGAGGGTGTCTCACCTATTCCTAGAAATACAACTCTAGCTGTAGTGAAGTGGTGATTGATTTCTTTTCTGCAAGTGAAAGGATTGTCGGAAAGGAAATTTTAATTATCAAGCAGGAGAAACAAAACAGAATGCTGATATTCCAACAAAAGCAATTTTTACTGTCTTCTCTTTAAAAGTATGTATTTCTAGGAAAGCAACCAAATTATTTGGTTTAGAATTTTTTTCCAACTGGATGCCATTACTTTTTCAATGCAAAAGTTCTGAGGTATGTTCTCCTTCCAAAAATTAATGTTCTCATTATTGACTACATTTTTTTTGGAGAAGCTCTGTTAAAAATCTCCAGTTATGGTGAACATAATTTTTACTTTAGCTAAAGCTGTGTGTGATCTTCCTATAATTTCATGCATCTTACAACTTCTTCTTCCAAAACAGGCAGTTTATCCTAATCTTTGTTTTTTCACTGGAATAGCCACAGGAAAAACTTGGTTTTGCTTTGAGTCTTGCTATAGCTTTCCTTTACACCCGGGGCAATGATTTTGGACCCAAATTTAATCTACAATAAGAGACCAAGGAGTGCCAGCTGCAGCAGGACAGAAGTGTCTTGAAACAGATGTTAACATATGAAGTGACCATAATGGCCTCCACTTTAAAACACTAGGCTGCTGAATGGTGTAGATGAAAAAGAAGCTGTTACTTTTCAGTTTCTGCATTTATGGCATAAAGATAACAACAGTCATCCACCTTCATATACTCTTTTTTTACCTCCATCACCTAAGTGAAAATTGCAAGGTATTATTATTAGGCCCACAAAAAAAACCACAGGAAAAAAATCCCAGATTTCATATATTTGTTTTGAGAGGTCTGTTTCTGTGAGCCACAGACAATTTACTTTATTAGTACAATGTACAGTTATTCTGTCTTTCTGCAGTATTCCCTTTCTAGACTTGAATACAACCAATTTTGTGGAAAACATTTTATTTCTGACTCGATTTCCCACTTGACTTGCTTTTCATTTCCTATGACACCTTTGTTTTACTGCCTTGGCTTCATTTTAAGGTCACAGACAAACAGAACAATTTGCCTATGTTCATATTCTACAACTTCTTACAGCATGGGGATCTACTGTTGTTTAAAAATTTTTTTTTTTTTAATTCTTCCTCATTTTCAGGAATTGTGTGGTTGAACTCTGTAGAGACCGTTACACACTGCAGTTAGTTGTTCCCCTTTCTACCAGTTTGGCAGCAAGGTAAGGTGGCTGTGTACCAGCAGTTGTTCCACCTGTTTGGCAGATGACTACATTCCTCACTGTATCTCTAAACCTCATTTGAGAAATGAGAGGTCACTAGAAAGCTCAACAATGTACTTCCTTCCCAGCAGGAATCCAAAAAGCACAGGTGTGATACTTCCACTCATTCAGGACATAGGACTGTAATAACATTAAACTGGCTTTTTGATGACTGTTTATGTTATCGTATCCTCCTAGGTTTCCTACTGTAACACATGTAATGGTCAGAATCAATGGGAAATTTTTGATTCTGTTGGAGCAAAGTGATGATTTGCCTACACAGAAGCAGCTTTCCTGCCGTCTGCCCTAAGCTGCGGCTGCATTAGCTACGGACAGGTGTATTCTTTTATTTTCTATACTTCTGGCATATACAAATATCAGACTTCATCAGATTTGAAGAATCTGGTGAAAAAGATACTTAGAAAAGATTCTTACTATGGCGTTTCTTTGTTTCTGCTTTACCTTCTTCTTTTGTCACTCCCAAGCAGCCCATTAATTCTTGAACTGACAAGGACTTATCGTTGTTCACATCACAGTATTCCACAAACTTCTTCACACATTTTTTGGGTTTTGATTTCTTTCTTAGGAATCTCTTAAATGGCTTGATTTCTTTCTTGCCAATGTCACCACTGGAATTTTTATCTAGCTGTTTGAAATACCAGTGGACCACTCTCTCTTCTAGAGTATGATTTGGATCAGGCTCTGAAACCCTGAAACAGAAAACAAGAGTTTAGTCTTAATTCTGATACATAAACCTCAGTTTATACCTTTATTTCAGAATAGTTAAATCACTGTCAGATGCTTTGTTACATAAACCTCCCTGCTTTTGGACACTAGCTTCTTGTAGTGAATCCCTCTTTTTTCACTTTGGCCAACTGTATCCTAACTTTACACTAAGGGCTGGAATCTGCTCTTAGTTAACTCTCCAAAACTCTAGTGAGGTCAGCACCATACTCAGAAAACAGTGCTTTCCCCTTTCATTTCCTGAAACAGAGAAAAGTGAGGAGACAAATAAAAGAGAAAAAGACAGTTTCATAGATGGCAGACACATTAAAACATGTAATATAGCCAACCCAAGTAGGTCAACAGTCAGCATCGCCAAATACCTAGGCTCCAATTACAACCCATGATGGAAGCTCTTAGAGATAAAACACCTAAATGTATTGAATTACAGGGTAGGTTATAACAATAAATGTCACCTCCTCTTCAGAAGGTAAGCACCTGATCTGAAGACACCCAAAGTTTGACAGCACTTTAGGCGTTTTTAATTCTACCTGTGACTGTTGATAGCATTGGTTTGTTTTACAAGCAACTAGGAAAAATATGAATCAGGAAGGTAGCACACATTCATCAAGTAAAACCCGAAAGGAGAACAAAGACTGAGACACAGTTGCACCAGCAGCTACAGATAAACTCTAAGCTGTGCTGTTGCTGAGAATTCCACTATCAATGCCTCTCTGTTTAGTGGACATAGTCCACTGTGGAAACTTTGAAGTAAACTCTCCTAGATAGATTCTTGGAAATTTACCCTTTGTAAAGGCAGAAGAAGAATTACTTCTCAAAACCCTCAATCATTCATTCATCACTGCCAGACACACAAAGACACACAAAACGGATCTGAAACCCACCGGCTAGAAGACAATGATGGATCAGAGACTGCGTGCACCATATCCGTGGACAATGCATCCAAAACACTAGTCAGGAACTCATTCTTCTTGGCCCCAGGACAACCTAGAAAACCAGATTTTTTCTTTTCTTGTTTCCTTTTTTCACAACATCTAAATTCCAATGATAGTTCAAACTTAGAGATCGATGTGACTCCCTGTACACAAATTCCCATCAATTGTGGACAAGCTCATAACATAATTCAAAGACAAACGTCTAAATTCAGGTACGTATCTGGAACATAAAGCAGGAATAGAAAATGATCCTTCTGAACTCAAGCAAGTGGGAATCTGTTTTGCATACCATGGGTCCCCTTCTTTCAGTTTTGGCCATTGTTTTTCCCTCTTTAAGATATTTTTTCCATGGGTGTCACATTTGAAAAGAACAGCTTTGAAACAACAGATGTTTGTACATGACACAGACCATGTGAAACACGGACTAGAAGCCCATAGCACACCACTTCTTTCAGATTTCCACTTTTGCTCCTCTGAACTACCATTGGCTTTCTCAACACACATTCTCCCAGTGCAGTGGTTTTCCTCTCTGTAAAGTAACAGTCAGCTCCTTGCCTTTTTCACTTTTCTCTTGGACAGGGGCTAACTCCCGCTATACAGCACCTAACCGAATGGGATGATGTTAGTCGGTACTTTGGTTCATACTGTGGGATCCTATGGTGATGCTAGATCATCCTCATAGTTACATTCCCTATGCCACGGAGTTCTTCTCTGAAAGAAACTGACAGCACGTTTCAGACCCATAATACATCAGATAAATATATACTGAAAGATTGACTCCTAGACCAGTGCAGCTGGAACAGATAAATTCATCTGACAAGCGCATGGATGTTGACACATGGAGGTTTGCTTATACAATACACCTGCTTCCTCTCCTCTTCCCTAGAGCCCTGAGCCAAACACCAGGTCCTCCCCTAGCCCTGTAATAGTGGAGTTCAACTCTAGGATGATCCATGAGCAGTGACATGAGATGATAAGCTTGAAGCCGGAGCCCGCAGCAGGACTTACACAGACAATTCTGTGCTGGAGGCCTGCTTACCCGCAGTTCTGTCCGTAAGTGAAAAAGGGAAACGCTTTGAAGTGTTGTGAAAAAAGGAAGATTAGTCAATCAGTGGGGATTCGTTATTTCATTACACTTCTTAGTGACCTCTGGAGCAGGCAGTAGGATTATCTGAGCCTGAAAAGCCTCATCTTGCCCAGCAAATTATTTTTTAATACATCCCATGTTGATCCAAGGAAATGAACCTGTGTTATATTAGCCCTTAGCTGTGTTGCAGTAAGAATAGCTCAGCTATTATGTATAGCCGCAGCACCCACTACATATTATTGTCTAACACATTCATGTAGTTATGAGTTCCCTGTCTCTTATGTGCTTGCCTTCGGCACCAGGGACATTTTATTTCAGTAACTGTAAAAGGAGTATAACAGGAATTCACTGAAGCAAGTTTCACTGCACTAAAAGCACACATCTGAAACCAGTTGTCACTCTCCAAGATATGTTCCTCTTCCCTTAGCCTTTAACCAGTTGTTTTTTCCTGCTACAACTGGGAAAAAAAAGAAAAAAGAAAGAAAAAAAAAAAACCATCCCAACAGCTATGGCTATAATCCTAAATTCGAGTTCCGTGAGACAAGCACTTGAGCTTTCCCTGTAAGGCACAGAAATGAGAAGGGTGGCAAGAGATTAACAGGGAGGGACACAATACAATACCGACAGGTTCCTGGCAGCATTCCATGCATAATTTAAAAGTATATTCTCTAGAGCACAGAGCTTGCTGGTAAGTAAGGCTCAGACACTGGGACTGTGTACGTAAATGGTGCATCGAGATTTAAATGAACCCACGGAACTTTGCGAGTCACAAAAGCACCTTTGCCCAGAGATGGGCAGGCAGAGCCCAAGCAGTTCCCATGCAGAAGGCATATCCAGCTGTGTTAGCGTGGCAGCCTGCCTGAATCCCACAGCAAAGTCTCTGAGCAACCTACTGAGCTCAGCACTACATCTTGCTAGCAAGGGTACTTGGCCTGTGGACCAGAGCTGGTTCTCTTCAAAGGACAGGCAAAAAGAGGTCTGTCCGAGGCTCTCCATGTAGACCTGTCTTGAATGATACAAGCTTTATCTATTTCATGCTGGGGTTGTGTTACTGTCATCAGGCAGAAGCCTGAATCCTGCTCCAAACATGAGTTGTGAATTGATACAGGGCTCGTGGAAAATGCAGACAATAATGTCTCAGCATATAACAACGCAATGCAATATGGAGACAAGGCAATTTGACTTTGCTTCTTTCTCTGTCCTTTTTTGGATATATAATAATGTTAATATTCAATTTTATTTAGGAGCTCCACCTGAATTTTTCATGTTAGTTATGAGTGTATTCCTGAAACATCTGGAAGAAACAAAAATGTATGTTTTAGGTAGTTTCCACTGCTGTCCAGGGAGCTGCTGAGTGTACATGCGCTACAGATGTAGACATCAAAATCATGACTTAGCTTGCTATTTATGAGATACAGCTAGGTAGGGGAAAGTATCAACTTCTAAATTCACAAGAAATCATGGGGAAAAAATTCCATAGTTTAAAGCCTGTCTCTAACAATTTTCCCTAAGATTCAGAAAGGTTTCTAAATGTGTATTGCATAAAGTTCCAATAGCAGCTAAGAGCAACAGAAATCTTCTCATAGAAATGAAATCTCGCTGTTAAGACAAATACAATCGGCTGCTGTGAAACATTCTAAATTATAACTCTACTACTTAATGTAAAATGACACCCCACAAAATCCTCACCAGTTAAATACAGAGAAAATATTCAGTTTCTCCCAATTATAATTTTTGCTGATGTGTAGGCAATCACACAGCAATTTACCTTACAGTGAAATCTCTGTTCTTTGCAGGTGTTATTAACTCAAAATAATTCTCTGGAGGCTTCACGCTGAGCTTTAATTTGCAACAAACTTGTGGGTGAAATGGCAAGACTGGGGGAGCTTTAGCTTGATTGTAATGAATAATTCACTCTTACAGGACTAAATACAGAAAGGGAAAGACTAGTCTCTTATGGGAGCCTTATGCTTCTCACTATGGTTTATGTGCTTCGGTTTCTTCTTCTGCAGCTGCTTGTCCTGTGTGGATTTGACAGCTTACATAAATAATAATTTGTTGTTAAAGGGTTGAAGTTGAAACCACATGGAGTTAACCTACAAGTTCAGAGACGTAACATGGAGTTGAGTGTTTGCTTTAAGGATAGTTTTACCCAGAGTAAACCTTAGACCAACAAATACATACCACAAATGACGGGAATATACAAACACCTCATTTCAGCTATAATATAAAGGTAATCAAAGAATCGTCATTATACATTATATATCTCATACGTACACATGTCTCTCTATAAATGCATCTACCTTTAGTGCTGAGGAGGGATTTTTGGAGTTAAATCTGTGGGGCAGTTGTCTATAAACCTTCTAAAACATGCATCCAAGTGCCTTGGAGCTCCCTCCTTGGTTGATACTAATCTACCACTGTCAATCTTGGAAGATTACCTTTTATAGTACATCTGAAGTCATGGCTAGAAAAGTATTTTGCTCATTTCTGTAAAAATGTGAATACAATAGATAAGATTAATCACTTTAAAAGGGAGTTTACATTAATCTTCCTGCAAGAGAGGGAACTGTCTTGAGTCAGTCACTCAAGTAATTAAAGGCATGACAACTTCCAACTAGCAAATCTAAAGCTTCTTTTTCATTCCCTGTTTGGTAGCATGAATATCAACCCTAGCAGTGCACTCAAATACAATGACCACTGAAATACCTCTGAAGATTATAAATAAGTTTTGATCTGCCAAAGATCAGAATGATCAGAACTATTCATGTTTCTTTTGCAGCTTTAACTTCACAGAAATATAGTGGGATACAGAAGAAAACGATTTAACAAAGTTTGTTGGTGCTACTGGTTATCCTGGGAGAGCAGACAATACAAGTAAAGTATTTTTTCTTGGACTTTTATTCTATACACACATATATGTCCAGTTCATGAGTTTATTTCTGTTGATCCATATAAATCACAAGTTTGTGTTTGTCTAGATGTACTGAGGGCCCTCCTCATTTTTTGGAGGACATCTTGAGCTCTTCCTAAGCCCTGTTACAGCAAAAAAGCCCTTCAAAAGATGGGAACTGAAATTTGTAACTCTGCTGGAGCCTAAAAATCATGGCTTCAACGGAGTCAGTGGTTTTATGGCTCATTGCAGTTTTTCCCTTACCGCACCTCCCGGTAACCTCTCACAAACAGTAATTATCTACCTCTTAGTCTGTATCCTAGAGGTATTGAGGACATTATCATGTCTCCTTGTTAACATCCCTCAGGTATTACCCTTTTTTTTTCTTTTTTCTCTCAAATATTCTTACCAATTAAAAGAATTAAGTTAAACTTGGAGCCAAATTCTCTTTTATCTGTGCTTACCCAAATTTCAGAAATAATAAAGTAGAACAGAATAGATGTTAGCTGGAGGGGAGCTACAGATCCATTGCTTTGTAGCTCCAGATCTCTATGTCTTACAGGGAAGAAGTATTATTTCTGGAGAAGGGCACGAAGCAGATTTCAGTTCTCCACATATATTTAACTTTATTTTTGTTACTATTTTAAAATGACCTTTCTGTTCTCATTTCAGGGGGAAAAACAAAAGAGTTAACAAAGGATGCTCTCTGAAGGCCCTACCCTTCAATCCCAGGCATTCATATCATACCAAAGTGCATTGAGGGGGATTTGTTGAACTTGAGCCTGCTGAAATGAGGGGTCTCACCCATAACAGTTATTTAAGCTCAGTATAAAGAAACCCATTCAAAAGGCATTCATCCCAACTACCTTAGACTTTTTCTTAGAATAGGCTAGGATCTCCCTTAAAATGTATCTCTTCTTCCTCATTAACTGCTGAGGAAGCCCAGACAGCGAACTTACATTCCCAGGTAGTGTAAAAATGCTTGTGATGAATTCTGTATGTATCTGTTTTGTAAGTTCATTTAGGCTTAGACTACTCTGTTATTCTTCGGGTAAATGTGATGGAAAGAAGG